ATGAGACTGTCAATTCACTTCATCAATATGCTCGCTTCACCTCTTCACTCGCTCTGAACTAACAGAATGCAACAAATGGAGCATTTTTTCGAATGATTCTCGCTTGGCTAACCGCCCGCCCGAACTGCTTCCGCTATGTGCAAAAGCTTCAGGCAGAGCTAACCAAACAAAACAGAACAAAACAAAACAGAACAGAGAAACAAAAGATGGAAAAAGAATAATAACTGTGCCATGCTCGGGGTTAAGTGCAAACGTCATAAACGGGACAGAATCGCAGTTGGCTGAAGCTGGAATTGGACTTGTTGGAGTCGCTCCATTTCTCTGCTGCTCTCTCTCTATCTCTTTCTCTCGCTCTGTGGCAGTGGCTGCCCTTTAACTGTAAATGCCTGTGTGTACATAGTTTAGTTAACTCTGAAAAGCAACGCACAAAGCAACGTGACAACAGCAACAACAACAACAATCAGAGGTGATTCATGCGCAACCAGCAACATCAACATTAACACAACAACAACAAGCACAACAACTAGAACTTGTTTATTACACAGCTCAACTCCAAGCTAAAGCAACTCCAGCTGTTGAACGTGAAGCGTGTTGCTTGAAGCTTGGAGCTTGTAGCTCGTAGCATTGGTCAAGCTGCTCCGCTGGGAGCTTCTACAAATGCTTTCCCAATTATCTGCACAAAATAATGCCCATGGCCACGCCCCGTTTATTGAGGCTCTACTGCGGTTGCCAGCGACTTTCCAATTGATAATCAACCGAACAACTGGCTAGCTCCATGCCATTTGGCTCTCTGTCGATCGTACGGTGCGCTCTGCCCTGCATTCGAGCCATATATAGGCAGCATTTGATATGGTCTGCGCACAGCTGATGCCGCTTAGACCCTCAGACCCATAGACCCAATTTGGTTTGGTCAACACGCTTATCGTGCCCCATTTCCCCTCGCTGATAACGGGCGGTATTTTTGTTTGTATTTCCTTTGAATATCATTTTGATTAGCCTTATCGACCGTCGCATCGTGCATAGAGGTGTGCAAATATTCCCAAGTCAGATGGCCCAGCTATATATGTATGTATGTACATATATGGAAACATTGGCGCCATGGGACGAGAATTAACTACAAATTACAAACAGCGATAAGGTCGAGGCATTGATTAGCAAGGGCATTCATGTACCCCAGGTGATTGCGATTGTGATGCTGATACCGAATGTAATTGAGCTCGTAAGTAAATTTAATTACGAAAACAATTACATATATGGAGCCAAATTAATTAAAAAATATATTTACATGTAAATGTAATATTGAAAGGGTATTCATAGAAGAACCCTGGCCATCTACAGTTTCGTATGCATGAATCAGATTTGATATGTACAGCAAGGTGTACATCTATATCGCAGTGGATATAATTAGAAATCTATTTTAAGTAACATTTTGATTGAGGAAATTCATATCTAAACAAATATCAAAATCGAAAAGCAACAGTCAGTAAACTGTAAACAATTTAAGGATTGCAGTAAATTCTAATTTTATTATCGCTGCTTACTTTGAGATCTTGACTTATTATTACCCTAGATATTTATATTTACATTATTAATTTGTATATTCTAATCAAGTAATCTGGTTTCAAAACGAAGTAAACTGAACCGGGCCTTATATATTATTCGTAATTGTCGAGCAATTTTACAGAAACTTGAGCCAGCTCCTGCAAAGTAATACGATGCTAAACACCATCGATAACTGTCAAATCGAGCAAAACTATATACATACATATATGCACATACATATATCAAGAGACGCAGGTGAGTCAAGCGCAGAGACCAATGGATGCCATTGCATGGGGCCGTCCTACATTCTGCTTGCAGGTGGGCGCTCTGCAGTCCATGGCTGACTAGCATAGATGTGTGTAGAGCTCTATATATAGATCTTAGGTAGCATAGATATGCATATACCTCTCTCTGTCTCTCTCTCTCTCTTTATATATATACATATGTAGATCGTATCGTGCTTTACCAACCCCCCTCCTGCCCCTTTAAAAAGTCGCCCAAAACAAACTGAAATGTTTACATTCGACATGCTGTACTTGCGGTACATTTGCTGATGGCAATGACCTATGCGAGGCATTAAACCGCACCGCATACAGCTCTCTCGCTCTCACATAGACACATATGTATATGTATTTTACTTTCGGACTGACTGATGACCATAAATAGCCAAAGCAAGCTTTTTGGGGCGGTTTACAATAATCAAAATAACAATAACAATCTAACGTTAATGTGTGTGCCGCAATTTGTTGTTGGTTCAATAAACTCGCCAGCCGAAACAAACCGCAAAGAGAAATTATTATGAAATTTGAATTTAAAATTCTAACTAGAAATGCGGCCCAAAACAAAATGGTGGCCGGCAACCAAAATAGTTTCGCATAATCAAATATAGCGCGGAAAATTGTACAATTAAATGTGAATTACAACAACAACAACAACAACAACAACTAGTACAGCAACCAAATAGATGAAAACAAAAACCACAGGAAATGTTAGAAAGCAAAGCCAACAGCACAAAGAGAGCCAACAATAAATAAAATATACTCATACGCATGCACACACACTCACACACACACACACATGCTAATATCATATGTGTATAGAAAATGGTGCAAATATCTCTTGGATTTCGACGGCGCCAAAGCAAGAACCAACAACTCAACCAACAGCAGACCCACAAAAGCAGCCCCAGTCCACAGCTCCCCAGCCCAGCCGCTCATGCCACACCCCGCCGCTGCCGCCGCCGCCTTCCGACGGACCCAGTCGCATGCAATCGCAAGCTGCGCCGCTTTTCACGCTAATATTAGCAGCAAATAGCAGTGATAACTGTTTAGCAG